GTTTAGCATTATTTTCCACAATCCTATTCCTAGGCATTCCCTTCAAACAGGTGTCCATGAGCCTTCAATCTTTGTGGTCACGGATTTTCACACAGGAACCCCAATTTCAACAAAGGAATCCTAGATGATTAAATTTTTCAAATGTTTCTTTTAATACAAAAATTGGGAATGACATTGAAATAAAACCATTTATGTTTCAAAAATAACAATAACTAGATAATAAAATTAGGGTGAGATGAAAGGTGGATGGAAAGGAGAATGGGAGAGAAATGGAAATTCAAATTATTGGCAAATATCCCGCAAGAAATGTGGAACATCTGACGTACCATGGTGAATAATCATAAATTGTCCTCAATCATTCAAGTAATTAGAGCGAATTCGCCGATCGCATTTTAAAGTATGCTAATTAGCCGTCTTTCCGTACAGCTCCCTTTGAAAACGCTTGATTAAACTTTCTAGCTCTTCTTTGGTCTCTCTGGTTTAACAAATGCATCTGTCTTGCACGAATTGCTGTTAGTAGAGGTCCTCCATCAGGGTAACCTTGGTCTCCTAACAGCTTAGCACCTGCAGGAAAATCCTGTGCCATGCTTGGTCCTTGCATTAACCGAAAAGAGGTTGCGTCGTGTGTGCTCCCTAAGAAATCAGCCTGTAAAAAACGAATGTGGCCCTCATAACTCCATGGCCTCCATAACTGATTGTGCATTTAAACAGTGGTAGTGTCTATTGTCGCTGTTTTCGTTGTGGCTCGGATTGAGGACGATAGATTTCATGCGATGTTACGTCTTTAGCACCAACTGCATTTAATAATTCAGGCCAATTACCCATTAGATTTCTCCATTCTACAAGAGATGGCCAGGTGACTTGATTGTGGAAATATCTCCAAATCACTGGTAGTGTCCTGTAGATTATACAAATCACGGAAGTTGGGTCGATATCGAACCCAAGTGCTAGAGTGTCTGTGTGTGGATATTTACGTAGCCACATCATAAAAAGCAAAACTTGGTTTATAATGTTAATTTTCAGCCTGCGCATAAGTACACTTGGGGGACGCGCTCTTGGACAGAATGCAACCGTATTCAAATATAATCCCAACAAGCACGAAAAAACGGATTTACTCCTCACCCTTCAAGCAAAAAAGGAAAAGATTTTAAAACAGCACCAAAAACTCAAAAGGCATCGAGCTATTAAGTGCTCCCTATGTTGCAAGTGAGAATGATCAAATCAACWCCCGAAGGAGAAGAACACATTGCTACTCTGCATTTGTGAAGTTGGTGTCTAGAGTACCACAGAGAGGTCAGATGGATGAGGTCAGCATCTTTTTGTGATGGAATCATTATTGAACAGGAACTAAAAAAACATTATTTATGAATAGGTACTCCACTTGGAGTTGAATGTTGTGGCGCACACCCCACTTCATGACTCAAGCTTTCTTCCCCAAAGGATCAAACACAAAAAGGCGGTCCTTAAAGGGCAACTAAACGGCCAAAATCGACCATTTTGAAGGGAAATTACATCAAATGGTCAATTCGAAAATTCACTTCTAAGAACTAGTTTTGCTTTTGTATTCGAGAATTTTGAGATTGAAATTCCCGCCTTGACCCTTTTGCGATCCGCCATTTTATGCGCCCGCAAAATGTCAGCGGACTCTTGCGTGACGTCATTGCGTGAAGCTTGTCAGACTGGTGTGT